CTCGCGTCGTGGCACGGGTAACAGCCTCTAGCTGAACCGTTTCCATAGGGTCTTATCTAGTGCAGTGCATTCGCCACCCGCCGGTGCCGAACTGGGACGTTTCATGGCCAGAGCAGCTGAAATTATTCCCTGACGCTCGGCTGAGATTGCTGCCATCTAAGCTGATTTCTGTGCTGCCTTTGTAGCGCCATGCATGTAGCAGAAGACAGCTGCCATGTTTCCCTTCAGCCAGCTTGCGTGGAGAACTAAAGCACCTCCTTCCTCTCACCTTTCCTTACAGCCGGGTTTCGGGGCCTCTTGTCATTCTCCTTGCTCACTTCCGGACTCTCTAATTTGGCCTCCTCCTCCACGAAGCACGGTGTCCCACGCTGGGCACAGACTCCAGCTGGGCTCAACGCATGCTCGGCGGGCTCGTGACCATCCCGCCTTGCGTGCGACACGCCGAGGGCGGCACTTGCCCTTCGTGCAGCAGCCTTGTGCAGTGGCTTCCTTGAGGCAGAGGTGGTGATCCTCTTTGCAGCGCTGCTTTTGCTGGTGGTGTTATTCTTCAGTCTGTGTATCTGATTTCTCCTTCCTGAGACTAGCTCTTTGTACTTCTCTTTATTGTACTTCGTCTTGTTGATTTTGGACCATGTCTTCAATTTGTCGAGATCCTTTTGAATTCAGAGCTTGTCCTCCCCAGTGCCTCTGGCCCCTCCCAGTTTGATGTCATCTGCAGTTTTTGTAAGTGTGTTCTCTACTCCATCGTTCAAGTCCTTAATGAATATATGGACTAGAAACAAGCCCAGGACAGACCCGTGGGAAGCGCCCACCTCGTCTGACGCACAGCCGCCATTCTTTGGTGCAGTTTGTCAACCAGTTGTTTGGGTGCAGCCGAACCATCATGTGATGTTTTTGTGTCTGCAGTGCTATTTGTTAGTTTGCTTATGAGAACATCACGTGGAAGAGTGTCAAAAGCCTCCCTGAGATCAAGAGGTATGGTATTTACTGCTCTCCCTTCATTCACGAGGCCGGTTACCCTGCCACAGCAGGAAGTCAGGCTGGCGTTGACATGATTTCTTCTTGAAAAATCTACACCGACTATCTTTTATCACCGTATCATCCTCTGGGGCATGTGCATTGATTGTTTAATGATTTGTTCTAGTTCACGCTGGGAGCCAGGATGATACCATGTCCACAGGGATGATTCCCTGTGCCTTTTTTAAGAATGGGTTTCGTGCTCACCCTTCTCCAGCCCTTTGGGCCTTTCCTCCTCTGGGAGCTTTCTACCAGAGCCCTCATGGCTCCGCAAGGATCTTGGCTAACTTCTTGTCTGCTCTGGGTGGTTTCTCAGGCCACCCTGACCCAAACCAAATGCACCTCCATATCCTTTCACCTGGCTCTTCTCCGTGCTGGCCTTCTCCCTTTGTTAAAATTAGTTGTTAAATCTCTGGTGACAATGAACCTTTTCATATGAAGACTGGAGCAAAGAGGCTTTCTATGTGTCCTTGGTTATTTTACTCCCTTTTCTTGTTAAGTAACAGATCTTTATTCTCCTCTGTCTCCCCCTGTCTTCTACTACGTTTGTACAGCACATTGAATTCTTTTTCTTGTTGCTTTTTATGTCCCTTGCTAGTTGTAACTCATATCATACATTGGCCTTTTTGATTCTATCCCTACATGCTTGTGCTATTCCTTTATATTAATCTTGGATCATCTGCCCTTTGCTGCTTTCTTTTTGATTTTCTAGTACATAAAAAGCACCGGATCCAACTGCAATTGTCATATGCTACGCTTTCTCCCTTTCCTCTTCAAAATACCTCTTAAAACAGCCTAAGAACGAGCTCATTCACAGATGCTAAAAAATATTTGTCAACAGGTGGTCACCATCCAGTGGTGGAGTTTCTAGAGGGGCTCACAGGGATTAGCTCTATGTGTGATCCCCTTCTCTGTTTTGGTTGATGATCTAGAAGTAAATATGAAACGTTCACTGCTATGGCTTGAGGATAATCCAAAGGCTGGCAGCATGATAAATAGCAGTCGTCCCGCAGAGCAGCCCGGCTCGCTCAGCCCATTCAAAGGCGCTCCAATGTAAGCAGAAGGATGAGATACAGTGGAGAAGCATTGATCTGGGGCGGAGCACAGGCCACACATGCAGCGGAGGGGGCGGTGTCCGGGAAAGCAGGCACTGAAAAGCATCCAGGGTCAGAGGGGACCACCCCGTGGGACACTATGGCAACCGGGGCTGATGGATCCCGGGACCTTTCCCTGGGGAGTGAGCTCAGTACAGAAAACTGCTGGCAGCTGAGGTGTCCTCCCGTAAAAAGGTGTTCCCTGAAGGGCAGAGCTGTGGGGCACCAGCAGCGCCGGGTGGCAGGAGCGCTCAGCAGTCCGTGCGGTAGGTCAGCTGGACCTGTTGGGTCAGGACGCAAAGCGCCAGCTCCCAGTCCGTGCAGCCACAGCAGGCCGGGAGCAAAATCCAGCCCTTGCCGCGAGACACCCGGGCGTTCTGGCGGTGCCGAGGCCCCG